AGAAGGGAGGCCACTGCGAACCTTCCGTCCAGCCCAGCAGACCCTCCGGCTGCAAGCTGTAACATGAGTCAGCGCAGGGGAGAACAGCAGAACTGTCTGGCCAATCCATAGAACTGCACGAAGGAAGACAATAATAAATCACTGCTGGTTTAAGCCACTATGTTTGGGATAGTTTGTTACGCAGCAATAGATCAAAGAAACAACCCTGTTTCCCATAAATTATAAACCAGGCCCACTTCCATTACACTATAGTTAGTGATAGGCTACATGTTAATGGATTGTTTAGTTGGCTATTTCATTACTACCATAGAAAAAGAGTACTAATTTATTCATTTAAAATGAATAGATGTTATTATCGATACTAGTAACGTTTATAGAGCACTTTGCCAATTTGAAATAGTCTCTTAATAATTTATCAAGTTTTTTAATAGAAGAAATATTGAATCATAGACCTATGGGAGTTAAGAGGAGCAAGAAGAGGTCATTTAATCCATCTCCTTATCTTCAAAGAGAATGACTTATTCTATCCAAGTCAGATAAGAGTCATCTTCCTTCTCCTGACTGTCATCCAAAAAAACTTTTAAAGTGTGGATCTGTAAATGGAACTGTATTTGGCACTCCATAGGCCCTTAAAGATGTAATGCAACAACAATGCAGAGAGAAACCACACGCAAACAAAATTCGAAGTACTGCATGCACAGCTTAAAAAGAGTGGATGAGACGATGTGGGATGTACATACAATGGAATATTATTCAGCCACGAGAAAGAAGGTAATTCTGCCGTTTGTGACAAAATGATGGTTCGCAGGGGCGGGGTGGGGTGAGGGAAATGGGAGATATTGTGCAAGGGTACAAACTTTCAGTGATACAATGCATAAGTTCTAGGGATCTATTGTACAGTGTGATGATTACAGCTAATAATATTGTGTTATAAACTTGAGATTTGCTAAGAGAGTAGATCTTAAATGTTCTCACCACAAAACAGACATGGTAATTATGTGAGGTGATGTAGATATTAGCTAAGGATACGGCGATAATCATTTTGCAAGATATAAGTGTATCAAATCAACATTTTGTACACCTTAAACTTAAACAATATTATATGTCAATTATATCTCAATACAACTGGAAAAAGAAAGATAATATAAAATGATATTTTTTGTTGCAAATTATCTACATAAACATTTTAGCGCATGTAGGTAATATAGACAGCGATAAACAATCATACGATGACTATGCATGTATTCAAGTAAAAGAAAAAAACTCAGGGAAATATGACAGCTCTCAGGTATTTGAAAGGCTGCTGTGTAGGAGAAAGGTTAGATTTGCTCTGTGTAGCTACTGGGTACAACTGGGACAAAGAGAGAAACAGGTGGAAGTTTCAGGGACGCAAGTGTCAGTTTATCTTTAGGAAGAACTTTTTAACCATCAGAACGTTTCAGAATAAATGGGCTTCCTCATTGGAGTGTTACTATAGAGGGAATTCCAGGAGATTAGCCTAGATGACCTCTGAAGTTCTTTCCAACCCTATGACACCAAACCACATGTCAAGCTCGAATGCATTTGGGGGAAGTTGAGGAAGGTAATTGAATTTTATAGGCAAACGATTGTCACCAGCTGTACTTGTTTTAGGTATGGACTGAATAGAGTCCAGGGAAACTTATATCTTTATGCATAAGTCTGAGATTTTCTTATGAGGAGGAAGCAGGGTTTGAGTAGAATCCTAAGTATCCTAAGTACCATAAGGGGAGTCACTCAGGAGTCATATTGGGGAGAATATGATCATTACGAAAGTCAGAGGCTAATTGGAGATTATCCATCCATCCATCCATCCATCCAACCATCCAACCATCCATCCATCCATTCATATCTGTCATAGAAGGGGTGGGAGTTTGAGGAACTGGAGATGTTGAACTCTAAGCAATCACAAGCCAGGCTATCCCAGAAACTAATTTTGAAACATTAGACGAGAAACCTAGACATTGTACATAATGGAGGGGAGGAGAGTGTGGTCACAGAAATGAGAGGAAGAAATATTTTTGTAAATTGCTGGGTGGTCAAGGTCTGGAACCTAGGAGGAAAAGACCAGCAGCAGGAGAATCCAGCAGAGAGATGATGTGAGTCCCAATGAACACTTTGTCCGTCCAGATGTACAGAAAGGAGTAGATGTGTGAGATAATATAAGAATGTAGCAATAACTTGGAAATGCCGGCTGGAAAAGACAGGGATCACTGAGGCACGACTGACATGCTCCTTGCTTCTGGAAATAGTGGTATTGCTTCCGGGGCAGATAAAGATAACGAGCATCTATATCTTCAGTGTGACTGTTGGCTTTGGTGCTATATTTGATCTTTCATGCCAGTCCCTGGCCATCACTCCGGTGCATCAATCCCTGCTACTTTTTTTTGGTTTTCACCCGGTCCCTGCCCTTGGCAGGAACTCACAGTTACCCTCCATTCAGTTTGAGATGTTTGGGGGTTGTTTTAAATGTCACAATGAATTCTCAGGTAAGTCATTTTGGCTCGGTTATGTTGGGATGAAATATTTTCCCACACCTTGTTTCTCCCAAGTCTGTCACAGCCCCTACTCCCTTTCTGAAAATTCCCATCTCACTGTGAAAATGAAAGAATGGAAAACATTTACAAGACAGTGCATGTATCCTAAGTCTCCACTTACAAGATATTTGCTCTAGCCTGGACAAGATCTTAAGAACCAATGGTAGAGGAATTTTCATAGGCAAAAACAAAGGTCTTATGTAATCATTCACATGTGTAGGTAGCTACTGATAACCAAGTAAGAATGACTAATAAAGTGATGATTCTACATGGTTTTATTGGTTGGTTGGTGTTTTTGTTTTCAGTTATATGCAAGGTGGCAGGTGGTGGTAGTGGTGGGGGTCTCACCTGAATAAATACTGTAGAATTTGCTCCATGATCTAAGTTTATACCACTTGAAGAAATTAGGTGTGGGAAAGCTGGTGGAGATCTGAAAACATGTTTTTTTTGTTTTAATTGTAAATGATTATATGACACTTACATGCCCAGTACTGTTTTCAGTGCTTTATTGAATTCTCACAAAAGCCCTATAAGTACTATTGTTATTATCATTACTTCATAAAGGAGGAACTGATGCACAAAAAGGTTATTTACTCAAGAACAAATAGCTGGTAAGTAGAAGAGCCCACTTTTGAACTCAAGCAGTCTGGCTTCAGAGTCCCTGCTATAGTACACTGATCTATTGTATAACATGTATCTATTACATAACATTATATCACTATACAACATTAACAGAGAAGCCAGAAAGTTATCCCCAAATTGAAATTCTCTCAGATAATAACAATCAAACAACAAACCAAATTCTTGTTCTGTGACCACCTTTTTCCCTTGAGAATGATTATTTTTCAGTAGTTGCAAACACTTTGGGAATTAAAATGGGAAAAAAAGTATTTTACACACAGAAAACTTTGGTCCAAATGGAAAATTCATATTCTATTCAGTGCAAAAGCATAGTGGTTCTGTTCCCATTTAGGGGGCAATTTCAGTTATTTCTGGCCAAAGCCTGGATGGCAATGGAATAATTTCAGAGTGCCCTTGTAACAGTGAGTATCAATGTCAGTGAATGGTTCCTCTAAGGTCAGGATGATTCTGCGAAAGACGTGAAGAAGGCCTGCATTTTCCCCTTCCCTTTAACCTATCTTCCCAGTGGTGGTTTAGTGCTTCTTTACCACGGCACTATCCTCTCTGCTTTAATTTTAAGCAAGTTTTCAATGTGGTACCTTCAATGACTGATACTTTTAATAAAGGAAATAGAAAAGCCAAAGGAAAAGCAGGCAGATAATTATCTAATTCTTTGAGAACTTAAAAAACTGAATCAGCCCTGGCTGGTGTGGCTCAGTGGATTGAGTGTCCACCCAGGCACGGAAAGCTCACTGGTTTGATTCCCAGTCAGGGCCAGGTCTCTAGTAGGGGGCCCGAGAGAGGCAACCACACACTGATGTTTCCCTCCCTCTCTTCCTCCCTCCTTTCCCCTCTCTCTAAAAATAAATAAATAAAATCTTTAAAATTTTTTAAAAGAACTGGATCAATATTAAGATGCAAGAATATATAGTGTGGGGATAGTATTTACACATATAGATGTGTTTATGCGTGCGTGTGTGAGTGTATAAACACACTTTTCTGCTTGAGTCCCTCTTTAGATAATATAAGTTAAAGGTAAGTTCTGGCTCAGAAACAGCGTTAAAGATAGATTTTTCCCCCTCCTTTGTACTCAAAAGAAGACCTGACCACGTGCACGGTATGCAAAGCACGCCAGTGAGAGATTAGCTTTACTGTCAAGCATTGTGAGGGTAACAAACACACGTGTGATTAGTTGGTAAAGGAGTCCGAGAGGAATTCGTGGTAATATAATACGAGGAATGGGGCCACAACTGCTTCTCCAGTGAGCCTGTAGAGTGCAGACTACTGAGTCGAGTGCAATTTAACATCATGAAATAATTTTTAAAAATCTTAGTGAAACAATAATGTATCTCTTTACCATCTTCATGTACATTTTAGATCATTTTGATTCTAGGCCCACTGCCGACGACGGTGTTTAAGGGGATTCTCCTGAGCACTTTAGGGATCCTCACCTGACACCACATGCCCTGCGCTTCTCTGTCCAGCTGCGCCTGCTCATGAGCGGTGCACCTGGGGCGCTTAGCTGGACTGATTGATTTGACAGGTGGAGGTGGGACGGGAAGGGCTTTGCACCCACCAACCCCCGAAGGCCGTGGTGCACTGAGCGGAACGTGGGAAGTCGACGTGCCGGGTAAGGACAGAGGGGCCGAAAGACCTGACGCAGCACCCAACGTGCCCACGAGGTGGGCACTCGAGGACCCAGCCCGCGAGGAGGCGGGGGCAGCGTGGGCGGGGCGGGACCGGGTGGGCGGGGCCGCGGGGAAGCCCTCCCCCGGAGTAGCGGAGGTGACTGGTTGGGTGGGGGGCGGGGGACGCTCTGCCCCACGCCCTCCCAGTGCTCGGTGGTTTAAAGATGGCGGCGGCGGCGGCGTTGGGGGCGCGGAGCCGCGGGAGGAGGAGGGAAGAGGAGGATCTGTGAGTCGCCGAGAGGCAGCGCGGCGGCTGCTGTGTGGAGTGCGGGCGCGGAGCCGCCGGCGGCCCGGCTTCTCAGGGCCGGGGCCTGGACTGGCAAGGAGGCCGGAGCAGCCCCAGGAGCCCGAGGCCGGAGCGGAGGAGGAATGTGACCGGGGGTCGGCGCGGGCGCGGGCGTACGCGAGCGCAGGGATGGGGCAGCAGGTGGGCCGCGTCGGGGAGGCTCCGGGGCTTCAGCAGCCGCAGCCCCGAGGGATCCGGGGCAGCAGTGCAGCCAGGCCCTCCGGCCGCAGGCGGGACCTGGCGGGGCGCACCACGGAGGCCGGCTTCAATATCTTCACCCAGCATGGTGAGTGTGTCCGGGAGCCGGCGTGCGGGCGTCGGGAGGCCGGGGGTGGGGCTGGGGCGGGGTGGGCGGCAGACAGGCAGCCCCTGGGGGTCGAGCGGTGGAAGGGTGCCCGGGAGTGGGGGCGGAATCCTCTGCCATCTGGGCCAGTCACGGGAGGCGAGTCACACCCCTCCCCCTCCGTCTCCAGCCTGGCTGGCAGCTCCCGGGGGCGGAGAAGGAAGGAGAAGTGGTCTTAGGGACCGTGGATGGACTCTCTTCTCCCCTGGGACGGGACCGTGCGGCCCCGGGGATGGTGGATGAGGTGGGGTGTGAGCTCAGCCTTGGAGGTGTTAGTGTAAATCGGTCGTTAGCGAAGAAAACGTGAGTTGTGCCTTCAAGGAATTGGGAAATAGCGACTGAATGTCAGGAGACAGTGTCGTATAAAGTATATTTGTAAGTCAGGCGATGAGCAGTGTCAGGATAGTGAGCAGTGCCTGCCCGAAATACCCTTCTGTGGGAAAGATAAGGGTGGTATGTCAGCACTCTTGATCCCCCCCCCCAACCGAAAATGAAGGGCTTTGCCAAACCATCTCCCAGGTCTGCTCTTTAGGACAGCATTCCGAGAAAGCTAGTAGGGCTTAGAGGACTTCGGGTATGAACACGTTTTTCTTCCTGCTCCGTGTGCATGTACCCATACTTACGCCCTTTCTGTAGTCCTGAACCTATTACTTTGATTATCAAGGTATTTTTAGAATCGTCTCCAAACTCTATCATACACTTTTATCAGAGAAGAGCATAAATCTCTGGAGTTAATATACCTCTATTAATTTTATGCTTGTACTACTGTGCTAATATGTTATATAACTTACAATGTACACAGAAATAGAATTTAAGAAAGCATGAGATGAAAAATAAGTGTGCTAAGAGTTCTAATAGATATCTTTGCCTACAGCCCAGTGGACACTTTTGCACTTCCTCTGAGGTGCCACTTTTGAGACGGCTTTTCTAGAGGAAGGAAGAGTGGAGAAGGGGGGAAAAAACAAAACTGACCTTCCTGAGATGTAGCTATCCTAAGCCCTGAGAGAAGCTGGAGAGATGTGACTTCTGTATGGAGGAGTGGATAGTTGAGGTTGGAGGAGAGGTAGCAAACTGGAATTTCACTGAAGATGCCTATAGAAAATTATAAAGGAAAAAGAAGACTGGGTGTTCCATACTGCACAATGTAGGGAAGAGGAGGAAGAAAGGGAACTGTGGACTAGTTGTTAGAAATGGAGTTTGGGAGGAACTAATGCAAAGAAAGAAAGAAATGTACCCAGGGAGCTCTGGCTGTCAGGGGAGTCGTATCAGAGTTATATGGGCTTGGAGTTTGTGAGTAAGCCTGGCTATCTCTTATTGGAGGAGACTTAAGGGGTTTGGGGCCATTGGAGAAGTACATGTGTGCTGTTGGCCTGGCTGGTGTGGCTCAGTGGATTGAGCGCTGGCCTGCGATCTAAAGGCTCGCCTGTTCAATTCCCAGTCAGGGCCAGGTCCCCAGTGGGGGGCGCTCAAGAGACAACCACGCATTGATGTTTCTCTCCCTCTCCCCCTCCCTCCCTCCCCCTCTCTATAAAAATAAATAAAATCTTAAAAAAAAAGAAGTACCTGTCTGCTATTAAAGATGGGAGCAAGCTTTTCTTCCAGGTATATGAATGAACATGTTAGGAAGGTGCTGTATAACGTAGTCTGTTGAAATCACTTTCTAAAACACAGGAGGCAAGAGTGGGCGAATAGTTTTCAGGGAAGAAATCCAAGTAGCTTTGCATTGTGGAACAGTATTAGTATGCACGCAGCTTGGCCCAGCAGGCCTTAGTGATCCTCTTCCTCTAGCAGCTTATTCAGGGTTTATGATTGTCAGGGAAGGAGGAAGTCATGAAAAATGGAATAGGAAGAGATTTTGAAGGACGGGTAGGAGTTGGATCTGTAGAGCAAGAAAACAGGGAGTAGAGGTCAGGAGAAACAACTTGAGCGTGAACAGTGGGAATGAAGGTGATTTGTCTGTCGATGGGAAGAGACATCTGTGGGGAGTGAAGCAAATCCCACGGGAGTGATTGCAGAGCAGAAGTCGCAAGAAGGAAGTCCTGGTCTTCGCTTCACCTGGCTGGGTGATTAGGTCACTTACCATCTTTGTTTTTTTTAATCTGTAACATATTGGACTGGATGATTGTTAAGGTACCTCCTGACTGTTACGATTTTATGATATTAAGTGAGAATCAGTGGAAAATGTGGCAGAGAAGTTTATATCAGTTTACCTGATTGGCTAGTTTATAGGATACATCAACAAACCCAAGTATGAAATACTGAAAGATTGCTTTTGAATGGAGACAGTAGAAATAGGAGGGGTAAGTATGAGCCTTATTTCATTCATTTAACAAACGAAAGTTCTTTGAGCACCTGTTACGTGCTGGGGGTGTTGCTGTGACTGTAACAGAGTCTCTGACCTTGTGGGACTTGAAGGACTTCACGATTTGATGTAGAGGGTGAAAGAGGAGAGATCACGTTGGAATATTTATTAAGGGCATGAACTCTGGAGACATTCTGCCTGGATTTGAAACCTGGCTCAGCTGCTTATTTGTTTGTTTGTTTATTTATTTATAGAGAGAAGGGAAGGGAGGGAGAAAGGAAGAGAAACATCAATATGAAAGAGAAACATCAATTGATTGCTTCTTGTGTGCGCCCCCACCAGGGACCGAACCGGCAGTCCAGGCCTGTGCCCTGACTGGGAATCAACCAGCAACCTTTTGCTTTGTGGAAGGTTGCTCAGCCGAGTAAGCCACACCAGTCAGGGCCAGCTGCTTATTATCTGTGTGACCTTGGGCAAGTTATTTAACTTTTCTGTGCCTTGGATTCCCCATTTGTAAAATGGGCCTCATAAGAGTACCTAGTAATTAAGCCTAGATTTAATGAGTTAATGTATGTGAGGCACTTAGAATAGTGCCTGGCACATAGTTAAGAGCTAAGTATGTGTTAGCTGCTACCATTACTACTACTACTATTAAAAGTAGGGATGAGTCAAAGACCATAAGGTTTGACATTGGCTGAGATGATAATTATTCTGTTGACAAGTTTGGAAGTTTGAAGATGATTGAAAGGATGGGAATAGGGTAAGTTTGTTGCCAAAGACCAGTATGAAAACAATGGAATTAGTAATTAGCAAATAATATAGAAAACAAAGGTGAAGTGAGTATTGTTCTTAGATGGTGTTTATGAACTTTGTTAGATCCATTTCTCAACCTTGGCAGTATTGACATTTTGGGGTGGACAATCCTTTATTGTGTGTGTGTATTTGCGGGGGTTGGGGCTGTCCTTTGCTTTGTAAGATGTTGAACAGCATCCACAGCTTCTACTCAGTAGATGCCAGTAGTATACCTTTCTGGCAACAACCTCCAGCCCCCACCACATTGCGGCAAACAGAAACATCTCCAGGCATTGCTAAATGTCTCCTGGGGTGAGGGATGGGGGCGGGGGCAATTGCCCCTAGTTGAGAACCACTGCTTAGAAACATGTGGTAGATTTTTTAATTGAATGAATTAGATTCCAGAGCCCCTCAGTGGATCTATCATTCGACATTTACACAAAAGAACTGGATTCTAGAACTAATGTACAAATAAATCTCTGTCTTGAATTTCAGTATTAAGATATTTGCACATTTTATATATGAAAGTTAAGTCTGACAAGCTGCTGAGCTTACGTGTAGTTTTAAAGAAGATCCAATATGGTACATAGTTAATCAGTAAAAATGCACCTATGCTATAGAGATAGTTTATCCGAGCCCATGATTTTTCTTCTGGAGAAAGAAATGGTATTTTCTTATTGAAGATGAGAATGGTATTTTTATTGTTAATATATGGTGAGTTGTTAAAATAATTTGCTTGCTTACAGTGGTTTTTGTGAATGTAATTTAAAAGGAATAAAAATAATAGGGCTTTTGGTATGAAAGAAGTGAGTACTGTGTGACTTTTCTGAGCTCTGCTGTTGAACCTCTTTGGTGAGCTGATGTTTTGTGACTAGTAAGTAATCTAGTGTTAGATACCTTCCTTTTTAATATCTGACATACCTCACAACACTTGAGTGATTGCACTTCAACTTTACTTTTCTCACTCATTTGCTGAAAATATTATTGTAGGTTAACCTGAACTTTCGAAGTTCCGAATACTAGAAATTTTCCTTTAAATCAAACCGATAGTTTTGCATGGCCTGCTTTGTTTATTCTGGACCTGTAGTTCATGTTCTGATCTTTGGAGAAGGAAAGAGGTGGCACCCCGGGATGGACTGATGCTGTAGCAGAGAACAGGAAGACTGTTGCGGGGAGTTTTAATTGTGGGGGCCTGGTACAGTGGTCACTGGTTCTTGCGAGAACTCCATGTCGGAAAAGGAATCAGCTGTCAGGTTTTTATTAACCTCCAGATCTGTACAAGGTACAGCTATATAGCTGAGTCTGTATTTTTAGCCAAGTGGCAGTCTGAGTTGTGATATAGATGTTGTTGTCACAGCCCGGTTGCCAGTAAGGCCCCAGGTAAATTGTGGAGTGTCAGTTGTCTCCTTAGGGGTCTTCAGAGTGCTTTAAAAAGAGAACAAAAGACAAAGGAAAAACGAGCATCTTTTCCCTTGTAGCCCCCATTCTGTGTTGTTGTTTTCTGTTCTCTTTATCAAAATGGGGAATGAGATGACAATAAATTTATATTCGTGTAGTTCTTTTTAGAGTTTATGAAGGTCTTTTATGGCCTTTACGTCATGGGATCTTTACTGCTGCTCTGAAATAGTTGAGGACAGGCATTAATTCTCTCACTTAATAGATGAAGAGTTAGGAGAATTGTGTGACTTCAGGATCGCCTTGCTCTCAAGCCATGAGACTGAAACACAAGCCCTTTTCTCTGAATCTTGCCACAGCACGGAGATTCAGGGAGCACGGATTTCCAAATCAGCAGAAGTGTATTCACCTTCTGCCTTGTATCTGCTATTGGTGAAGGGTTTGCAACTCCAGC